TTATCTATGTATACTGTACCAAGGAGGAGGGGGGGGGGATCTGTCTTGTTAAAGCATTATCTATGTATACTGTACCAAGGAGGAGGGGGGGGGGATCTGTCTTGTTAAAGCATTATCTTCGTATACTGTACCAAGGAGGAGGGGGGGATCTGTCTTGGTAAAGCATTATCTATGTATACTGTACCAAGGAGGAGGGGGGGATCTGTCTTGGTAAAGCATTATCTTCATATACTGTATTTTCAGAAGGTGAATCAGTAATATGTTAAACTAAATATACTTAAATAAATAGGTCCTTAATTGTGTGATTTTTATGTACTGTTACGATTCGGTGTTTATATTGTAAGGTTGTTAAGGATCTGTGTAATAAACTGTGGCATTACAGTGTTTATTTGCATGTCTTTGACTTAGTCTGTGCCCCCCAGTGGCACAGCGGTATGTTTGCGGACTTAATATCAAGGAACGGTTCAGCTTTTTATAATTATTTTTAAATACCCTTCTTTTATTATCTTAAAATGTTTAAATTATTTATTTATTTGCGATGTAAAGTTGTTCTATATAAATATAAAAGTACTGTCTGTTCATGTAGCTACTTCGCAGGGTGTGGATGGATCTTTTTTCAGTTTGGCATTTTGCATGGGCTTCTTTGCGTTTTTTACCACTATTTCTCCACTTGTAGATGGATCCTCACCAAATTTGGTATGGAGGTTTATTGGGTTCATGAGGAGTTGAATACAAATTTTCAGTTTTGCATTTTGCACAAGTACTTCGCCCCCTGTTTATCGATCTTCACCAGATTTCATATGAAAGTTTGTTGAGTCTATGCGGAGATACATGCAAACTTTCGGTTTCACATGTTGTGTTTTTCAGTTCTTATGGATGTTTTTTACAATTACTTCATCAATTACACAGCTTAATCAAATTTGGTATGGATCTTAACCAGATTTGGTATGGATTTTCCTTGGGTCCCAAAGAAGTTCAGTTTGGTTCTTTTGATAAGGTCTTGAAGTCATTTTAGTGTGTTTATATGGATTAGTGGTTTTTTTAAGCGATGTTCGGTACTGTATGCAGTAAAATTTGAAAATGTCAATAAATTTTCATAACTTTGGCCCAGGGCCTTCTTTTTTAAAGCTCTTTAACCTAGAATTTTGTGGAGAACTCACTGAGATGGTTTAAATCAACGTATTTGTGTAAAAAAAATGTAAAATTACTCTGTCTATTCAAATGTTCCAACCTTAAAGAAAGATTCCATCGATTTTTGTATAGTTTGTCATCAAGTCAACCAATTGTAGTTCAACAGAAAAACTGTATCCCTCGCACCCCCCCCCCAAAAAAAGATCTCTATTCAGTCGAAATTGACTCTTAAAACCTTACTTTCTAAAAACTGTTTTAAAATGCCTCAAAAAAGAAGAAATATCTTATGCACTTTTCATGTCCTAAGATAACCTTTCATTAACCATGAATTTACATAACT